GCAGTACCAGATGGAGTCGAGGGACATCCAGTTCAGCTTTTCTCCTAATTCATTCAGGTAAATGTCAACTCTCAGGTTCTCCTCTGTATCGTGTGCTGAGTTGAAGTTACTCACGCAGCGGGATGGGATCCCCAAGCAGCGCATGACTGTGGCACAGACAGACAAAACACAGGGTCACAAAATCACTCAGGTTGGTGGGCACCTCATCTTGTCTGACCCCTCTGCCCACCCAGGGTCCTCTAGAGCAGGTGCCCAAGACTGTGCCCAGAAAGCATTTGATTATCTCAGAGGATGGAGACTCCGCAACCTCTCTGGGCAACCTGTGCCAGTGCTCTGTCACCCTCACAGCTGAAAGCAGAACAGACAGAACAGTTTCAGATTGTACCCATCACCTCTGGTCCTGTCACTGGGCACCACTGAGAAGATCCTGGCTCTGTTCGCCCCACTCCCTCCTGTTGAGTATTTATACATATGGATAAGACTGTCTGAGCCTTCTCTTCTCCAGGCTGAGCAGTTCTGGCTTCCTCAGCCTCTCCTTACATGACAGACCCTGCCACCTCCAGTGCTCAGAGGCATGGCAATTTGGCTTACTAGCACAGTAATTAGGGTATAAGAGAAAGGAGACAGTTCACTGTTTACCTGTAGTGAGGACTCCTGCGAAGACCCAACATTGACCATAACAGACCGGCTTCTTCGTTTTGTAATATTGCTGCAAAATTGAGACGCTCCCAATCCAATCCATAGGGGAGGTCCCATTGCTGTACTTCCCTGACCAGTTCCCCAGCAGCACACCGTTGTCATCGTTGGCATTAACCTGTGGTCACACACACATGCAGAGGAGAAAAATATGGGGATGAGGCTGAATGAGGCTTAAACCCTGGGGTCTCTGCCCACCCTGTGGCTCCCCAAGTACTCTACAGCCCTGTGACACCCAGCAAGGTGCTGGTGCTGGCTTGGGGCTCCCCTGGTTATCTGGATATCTAGAGGGAGGTGGCACCGCTGCTCAGGGCAGCCAAAATGCATTCTGCATCTTGTTATCTTAAATCCCAGGGCTCCAAGAATGTTCCCACCACAGAGAGCAGCTGCCCTCCAAAGCACAACCCTTGTGTTGTCCCTGCCAATGCAGCTGCTGAGGAAGGACAACCACTAGGACAGCTGCAAGCTTTGGAGGTGGGGAGATGCTGTATTTTGCTCGCCTCTTCCCTCCACCCAAAATGCCTCTGGCTCTTTCCTTGAGGTTTCCCAAAGGAACCCATTTCAGATGTGTCCTGAAATGATGTTCAAGGCCCTGGGGAAAGAAGAGCAAGTAAGAAGGAGGAGGGAAAGCTGCAGGGGCAAAGCACTTCTCTGAGACAGGCATACCAAAGCAGACATGGCTCTGGAAACAAACACAGGATCCCTTCTATTGCTCAGCTTGAGATTACTTTTGTCCAGCAGATACATGCAGGCATCCAAGACGAATTCTTCAAACTGTTTTGGAGAGGAAGTGGAGACATTTTTATACACTGCCCTAAAACAGAATTTGCTCAATCAAAGTCTATCTAAGTACTTGGAGGAAACTGTCTGACTAGTCCTAACTTCTAAACTTCCTTATGATATTGAATTCTTGAGCCTACGGGACTTCCCAAAGCTGTTCTCTCCAAAGAAGGGCTTAAATGAAAACCCACCTCAGAAGACAAAAGCCTGTCTCACGTGTCTTGCAAGCACAGTTGGAACCTGGCCCAGCAATCTTTACTCCTGTGAGTAGTCCTAAGTCACCTACGTCATCTCCCTGCAGCCCCGCAAATTACTCATGAGAGTGATGAAAATTTAAGAGCGTTACAGGTACTCAGTCTATTGACATAGGTACAAAATGAACCTTGGGGGGGAAAAAAAAGTACATAAATGCAGATTATTACAGCAAAACATTCCTAATTAGCAATTGCTGATAAAGCTTCCTGAGGTCCAATTCACAGAGATGTCAAACATCCGATCCAAAAAGGTTTGGCAGAATATCAATTCTCATTGCTTAATGGCAGAATAAATATTAGGATAGGAACAGCCCTATGGACAATGCCCTTTGGCCCCTTTGTGGAAAAGGCATCAGCATGAGCACTTTTGCTGGGCTGTGTATCTTGCAGCTTGAAATTGCAGACTTATAAAACAAACTAAAAACACCAACCAACCAACCAACCAAACAGATTCCAACATATTTTGGTGGGGAAGTCTGGACAGGGTGCAGGATGCTCCATTTGGGTGCTTGTGTGCTTTCTACAGGGTGCAAATAAACCTGCTCTGGCATCCACCTCTTATCTCTAGCCCAAGTAGTTTGTCATTCCACTCCACTCGAGTTATCTCAGAGGCAGCGTGGAGGAACACCCTTCCTGAGAGGGCGGGCTGATTGTGTCCTGCACCCAACAGTTCACCTCGGAGCCAGTGAAGGCACCACTTGAATGATGATAATCTCTGCCGGTGCTTTTCCCCTATTTTTTCCCGATCGTGATGCAATAGGTAAATAATCGGATGTATTTTTCCCCCGTCAGCCCTCTCCACTGCTCACGAGCTGGTTACCAACAGTTGCTGTGTTGCGTGAGAGCATGGAGGACGCCTTGTGGGAATCTTTTCAACTAGAAATGCTCCATCCCCAACTTCCATGTCCTTTGCCAAGGGTCTCATGATCTGATTATAAACATGCAATTAAACCCCCTTCTAGAGCTGTGGCTGGGGAAAACATTTAAGTACGCAGATTATTCTAAGCAGGTGAAGCTTAGAATCCTGCCAGTGAAGCTGGCAGGATTATTCAAGTGCTTTGAGCTACTCATGGACTTAAACTGTTTTTAGGTCGGAGACAAAAGCCTAGAGGAGAAAGAGCGAATAAAGGTAATAAAACCAACAAGACAGCTGTGTTTTACCTGCCCAAAATTCCAGGGTCTATTGTATATGTTGTATGCAGACCCAACGTAGATGAAGCCTGTATCATTGAGCACGTACTCCTTTCTCTGTGCATCATCAGCCAGGAAGACGACATCAGCTGGAACAGAAAAACCCTCAGATGTTAGGTGGTTTGTACACACACTATACGAAACTTTCCTTGGAATGCTAAATCAGGGCAGCTGGTGGTCTGTAACATTCACACCAAATGATGACCATGCAGCACTCAGATGTTTTTTCCTATCGTGGAAGAAATTCCTATAAGACTAAGCGTTAAGACTCCTGTAGGTCTGTTGCCATATGACCATTGTTTTATTTTAGTAAACCACTTCTTTCTGAATAAACAGACTTAGGTAGACAGCAGAGAGAACTGGACCAATGCCAATCAACAACACACATTTTTGTCTGGTTATTTTTTTTAATCTGGATTTTAAGGCAACCCAGTCATCTCAATTAACCTTTGCAGTGGCCCAGGGAAACAGCGAGGGGTGACACAGAGGTGCAAATAGAGGTGACAAAGAGATGCCCCTTAACCCAGCACTGGGGCTTCTCCAGCGAGGAGCTGGCTCATTGCTATGACCCAGCTTCCTGCTGGCTCTGTGAGGATGCTGCTTGCGGTGTTTTAGGGAGAAAAAGCAATGTATGTGGGAAAGAGAGGAGGAAAAATGCAAGGAGAAGCTCTCCCAGGGACAATTGCTGGCAGCAGTAATTATCACCCCCGGTTGTAGGACCACTCACCTTCGCACCAAGGATTGAACAAAAGGTAGACAGCATTGTTTTCAGGCTTGTAAATGTTCATCCCAGTCTTCACGTTCAGGGTATATTTTCCCACCGGGGCCTTGGGTGAGCTGGTGATAGACAGCAGGCACTGGGGAGGCGACAAGGAGAGATGGCATGATGAACCCTCCGCCATGGCCTGAGGCACACGGCACAAGGACAGCATGAGCACCGAAGGTGGTGGCCACGGGGATGCGTGTGAGGGAAGACAGATGGGGCGCATCCTGCGTGTGCAGCGGGGGAGCAATGAATTAAGCAGGGCAAGGCTGCTGCCCACCTAAAATTACAGGGCTAAGGGAAAGCAGGACAGGGGTATGAGGATTTGCTCTGTCACTCCCAATGGGCTTGGTGTTGCTGCCCTCCAGCATTGCCCCACATGGGAGCATGGCCCACAGGTTCTACCTCTTTGCCGCTGTTCTTGACCATGGAGATTTGCCACCCGCCGAGGTCCTGCTCTTGCTTTGGCTTCAGAGACATCAGGGTCCCCCTGATTTTCATTGGCTTTTCACCTGGAAACAAATCCAACATGAGATGTGGGAGGGTTGCACGGGTCCACAACGACCACGCAGTGCTGGGTGGCAGGAACAGGCAGCCGGAGGCTGCCGGGACTCTCCCACATTGCCTGACAGCCACAGAGGGGGGACCCACTTACCGATGCCGAAACGCAGCGACAGCTTGTCGGCAGCCTTCAGTTCCCTGCTGAGGCTGAGCTGCACCTGAAAGGGCTGCCCACGCCGCACCACCAGGTTCTTGATGTTGTATGCATCCGTGTGGTGCTGGCGGCAGTTCTCGCTCTTGAGAAAGTCAATCCCAGTGACCTTCAGATCGGTCCCTGGAAAGTCATTAGCAGAGAGGGAGAAAGAAAAAAGAAAAGAGGGTTGATGGTAAATTGCTCAGCAAAGACAGTTTTCTTCTTCTTAATGGAGCCCTGTGGGTCATCAAAACCTCTAGGTGTTCAGTAATCTAGCACAAGGAATCACACCAAGGATTGCCAAAAATAATGGATGGTACAACAGGTTGGGTTTTTTTTAAATATATC